GATAAAGCCGATAATTAAAATGAGGTCGATAGGTTTAATTTATCGTGCGATTAATTGATATATCGTTTATCACGACATGCCTAGCTTTATATTTACCAAATGTTCTTTTATTCCATTCATTAACCTACAGTCACTTTTTATGAAATGAAAGTATCATGCCATCATGTCTGGCATTGTTTATTATTATTTTATTTTTCTTTTTTTGCAGGATTATTTGTTTCCTTTTTGGATTTCAGTTTGTAAAATGACAAAAATGAATAAGTTTTTTTATGAAATGAAACTAAAAGAAAAAAAATGTGGTTAAAAGCAAAACTTTTGTGCTACACTCCATTTTTATTTTGTCAGGGAAAATATTGCTTCGAAATATTTTAAAAGTGCCGACATTTTTGCCAGCTGCCAGCTCTGCTGGGTCAGATTTGGACTGGTCCAGAGCTGACATCAGAGGCTGGAAGTGACCCACAGGCAGCAGTTTGGTCAGTGTTGGTTCGTACTAAACTAAAACCTCGGACACACTGCCGTCTGCCAACACCTCTGTGACTGAAAGGTTCCAACTGGGACATCAGAAATCAAGAACAAATCTCATGGTTTGGTTTCTTTAGCTGTCCACTGGTCAAACACCAGCTGAGCAGACACTGCATCCTCCACTCCCATTCCTGTCAGACAAAAAACAAGAAAACACATTAAGGTTAATTAAAAACTACAACAAAGTGATATAATTATATCATCCAACACACCCAGAGACTTGAAGACGGTGGTCTTCTCCCTCTCAGCAGGTTTGGTTCCATTGATAACGTCTCCCAGTTCTGCAAACACCTGAGCCTGAAAGACACAATCACACCGACTCTCATTCTGCTCACCTTCAGTTTTCCAACTGGATTAAAAGTCAAATCTAAAGTAGACCGACCCCTGAAAGGATGACATCACCAGATTCTGACAGCGCCCCCTCCCTGCTGTCTGCGTACACCACAGCGCTCTTCATCAGCACGTCGTCCAGCTCCCTCCAGTCTGGCCTGCAGGCTCCCACAGCTGCTCCGCAAAGTCAACACGACCATCAAAGGGTTCATCCTGGTACGTGGCTGTGATTATTCTGGTTTTCGTGTCTGACTGGACCTCACCTGCCACATGTGCTCCTGCTTTGACCCACTGACCATGCAGCACCGGCTCCGTGGATCCAGTCACCGTCACTATGACGTCTGCTCCCCTCACCGCCTCCTCCGCCGAGCCACATCCTTTCACACCGCCTCCCACTGAGCGGACAAACCTCTCCATATTCTCTTTAGTCCGGCTCCAAACACGAACCTGAGGAAGAAGAAAGACGAGGATGTAGAAAGACGCCAAACCATGACGGGATTCCGACCGTTATGAACCAAAAAGACATTTACTGTTAAAGCTAACAGGGATAAATGTGAGTCACGATTATCAGATGTATGCTAGGTTATGTCTTGTTGTCACCAGATCTCCATAGCAACCATGAGACACTAGCTCCATGCCAACAAGATAGAGATAGCAGTAAAAATATTTTTCTGTCCTACCATCACAAACATAAACAGTTTGCTTAACTTTACTAGTGGAGCTTCTCAAACACTCCAGGTGAGTTTAGCATGACAAGCAGGATAAAGACAACACATTCAAACAATTTAAAGAAATGCTTTAAAAACCACACACACAATGTTTGGATTGTGTTTCCTTTTCTTCACCCATCTTATTGTCGCCGCTGAACAAGTACCTCTTTAAAAGAAAACATCTCAGTGAAGACGGTATAGTGACTCAGAGCCTGTGTGCCGGTCCCCAGGATGGCCAGAACCTCTGCTCCGGACGCCATCAGCAGCTAGACACACGCACACACACACACACACACCAAACAGGTCCGAGTTACTGCAGAGTCTCACTGCACAGAGAGGCTGATGTGCGTTACAAGGTCAACAGCAGAGATGCCTTAGCGGAGATGGCTGAGATGGCAGCAGTCCTCCTGGCCGTGATGACCTCCCCATCCATCACCTGCAGGTGGGACGTTCCAGCAGTGTTTACATGGTTCAGAGTCACACACACACGGCCTTTAAAAAGTACTCACACCTTTGGTTTGGTCACAGAGACTTTAATGTACAAACAAAAGAATGTGTTCTACTCAGATGAGACCAAAGTAGAACTTTTAGGCGTATAAACTAAACAGGAAACCAGTACTGTGCATCATGCTGACACACCGCCCCCTCAGTGAGGCACGGTGGTGGCAGCCATCAGGCCGTGACAATGCTTTTCTTTTGTCCTTTTCTTGTCTAAAAAGTTAAATGTAGCTGATTTTTATCAATTTGTAAAATCAGTAAAAAGGATAAAACATCCAAAGGTTTGAGTATCTTTTTTCAGGTACTGAATACTGGTGACTGTAACAATATATTTCATTCTACAAAGTATTACAGCATGCAAGATACATACAAATGCACACCACACTTTTCAGATTCTTTGGGACATGTTGAAAGTCAGGGATCATTTCCCTACAGTCATTGCAGATTAAAAAAGGGGTACATTTCTACCAAAAAACTTGGACATTTTAAAATTAATCTCCGAAATTTTCTACAGAAAACTCAAAAATGTCTTTGTTTGAAAAGTTTAACATTTTCTGCAATAAAATTTTGAGCACAATAGACATTTTCTGGGAAAAAAAAAAAAAAAAAACACTTCCCTTTACAGCCTTGCATAACTTTGTTTTGGTTCACCTCATAAAATCCTATTAAAACACAGTCAGGTTTGTGACTGTAGACGTGACAAATCTTCCAGGTGCTTTAATCATTGCAGGCGTGTTTGACTCACAGCCTTGATGTTCCCACGTTCTGGGTCCAGCAGAACCACGGTGGCCTGAACGGCTGGTAAAGTGGATCCTTTCTCTCTCTTGTAGAAACAGACAAACTTTGTGCTCAGCACTCCGTCGTTCTCCATGTATGTGGGCATGAGCCCCATGAAGCTGGAAGGAGAAGCAGATTGAGCCGCTGTTCTGCCAGCAGTCTGTTAATATGTGCCGAACCGAAGCAGCCGCAGCAGAGCAGGCCTACCCGCTGTGCTTCTGCAGCGGCACCGCGGTGCGCACAGGCTGGACCACCTCGGCGCTGTCCCGCCGGGAGAACTTCCCCAAAGCGTCCTCCAGACGGGGGACCAGGTCCCTGTAACGGAGCACATTTTCAACTTCCTGCTGCCAGATGATAACAGGAGGCTCGGCCATGGTCTCTGCTCAGCGAAGAGGGCAAAAGTTCAACCTTCCTCACTGTACTGGAACCTGAGCTGCGTTCAAAGCTCCTGAAGAATGGAGCGGGAAACGGGATGTTTCTCGGAAATCGGTGCTGCGTTCAATGTTCTTACACTGTCGTAAACGTCAGTCTGCTGTTACTTTGCAAAGCTTTCCTTGGTGAACATAAGGAAGAAGAGAGAAAATGAATAAATGCAGAGGGAGTAAAAATCCACCTGAGTTAGCATTAACTCAGTTTAAAAGGGAAACTGAGTGAATGATATTAAGATGATCAGATCCGGACACAGAATGAGGCCTTAAACGGAGATGTGTCTGGGAGAGATATTCCACCTAAACCCGCTGCAACTTTATAGACTGAGAGGGCAAAGCTTAGTTTGCTGATGAACCACCAAAGGAAACGACTTCACTCATTCATCTGCCCATAAACAGAAAGCCTGCCTAATTACGAACAGCAGAAATGATTAGACTTAAAATACCACCATGTCTAAGTTTTTGTGTGGAATTTGAGAATATTTTTACTAAATTATAATGGATAAATTCAAATAGCCTCATTAACTAATTATAAAACTGATGACTAATTTCAAAAACATACACCCAATATCTCATAAAAGTTTATTGAACTTTCCCAAAATGATTTTAAGTTTTATTGGTCAGATATTGGTTATCTACATCAGTGTTTCCCAACCCTGGTCCTCAAGGCTCACTGCCCTGCATGTTTTAGGTATTTCCTTCCTTCAGTCCAGCTGATTTCAGCTGATTCATTGTCATAATTATTTGCTTAGGATTTTAATAATGCTCTCATTGTATCATACTATTATTCGATTTACAAAAATAAAGATTCAAAGCGATCTGAACACTTATGGTCACAAAGTGTAAGTAAAACAAGGTGGTGGCTCTGTCATGATTAGAGATGTCTTCAAAAATCAATGAAATTATGCAGTCAGGAAGGTTTTGTCATGCTTTTCTATAATAGTGATGGAAAAGCATGACACTTTCACTAAGTGTGAAATCAAGCTCTGTGAAATTTTTATAAAATTCAAAATGAAAGGCTAGTTTTTTATGCGTTTCCTCTGGTGGCCAAGCAATAACATTTCACGGTTGTCTTTGTGCAATGACACTAAAATAAGCCTAAGTCTAGTTAACAACCAAGAAAAAAAATTAAACAGGCAAGTTCCTTCAATACATTTCCAAAAATATTCCGACTTAAATATTTAATGTGAAAAACGATTTTCACATTAAATATTAATTTGAGCTTATGTCATTAAGAAATTGCCAATGACATACGGGGGCCGTTGTAATTCTAATATTTTGAGATTAGTCTCAGAATTCAAAAAAAAGTTTCAAAAAACTTCCAAAACTCAAATTTCAAAGTTTCAAAAAACTTTGGAATTTCCACGTTTTTTGTACAAGATATTTGAGATTAATCCAAAAATTTTGGGAGTTTTTCAGCAAATATATATTCCATCTACAATGGCCTTAATACTATGCCGTACCCCCCTGCACGGAAAAGTACATTTGATTTATAAACGCAACATTTTTAGTTAGGATGACATTTTAAATAAAAAAAAAATTGAAACAAGTTGTTAAAAAAAAAAAAAAAAATTTATTGAGATACAGTTGATGGTCCTAAAAAATAAAAAAACGTGCAACACTCTTAAAAAATGCCAAATGTTTACAATAATCCAACATAAGGACAGAGTGGATGGAACCATCAACCAGCAGTGCTGCTGTCGGATCACACCAGCAGTCTCTCGATGGCCATCTGAACAGACTGAATCTGAGGTTTGAGCTGGGAGCCCTCCTTTATGGTGACCGAGGTAGCGATGACGGGCCGGGATACACCGCAGGCCCGGCCCAGCGCCTGCTTGGAGCGCACAAACACATATGGCACGTTCTTGTCCTCACACAGCAGCGGCAGGTGGAGGATGATCTCTAGTGGCTCGGCATCGGCTGCCATGACGATGAATTCGGCGATGCCTCTGTTCAAGGTTTTAGTAGCTGAGGGAGAAATAAAAATAATAAAAAAAAGGTTTACAATCACATGAATGTACAGAATCCTACAAGAACAAACAGCGAGAGACCAAAAAACAGCAAAAACAACATGCATTGTTTGAGAAATCCTCTCTCTCTTTCTCTCTCTCTCTCTCTCTCAGCTCCTTCAGACTAGCCAGCAGCCATTAGCAAACTCCTGGTGGAACTGTGCATCTTATTTTGCGAGCTACTTCTTAGTTTAACACTGGTAAAAACATTAAAGGGTTAATAGGAGCCATGTTGCAATGACTTCCTGAAAGCGGAGTTTCAGAAAGAGCAGGAGTTTTTAAAGAGACAGAGGCCCAATTTCAAGGTGTTAAATCAGGAAGTAAAATCTCTTACATGGTATGTATTGCATTTCTTTAACAACTGAAGGTAAAGTTACTTTATTATGCTACAAAATTGCATGGAATATATGCCTGAAAAACATAATTCTGCCCCTTTTAGCCAACTTGTCTGTATCTATATTCTGAAGATCAATGGATTTGATAAGTGAATAAAATCTTTCCTGACCTGAAAGCAAAAAAACATTGTGCAGGTAAAAACTAACTGGATTAAGGTTACAGTTTGACTCCACACAACATGCTTTGTAGAACACCAACATTTTTGAAGCAAACTTATGCCACAATGTTCTCATGCAAGAACTATTGAGAATCATTAAAATTAACCACGTGTATTTATTTATTTTTTTTTGCAATCAAAACGCAAAACATCCACTTAAGAATATTTACTAAAATTTTAGAAATAGGTACATTTTGAGATAAATACCTGATTTGGGGTAATTGTTCCAACAGTGATTTTTGATCTTCACTCAATGTATGTTGGCATCATTTGGATGTTTAATGGAAAGATGTTTTGACAACTTTGTTTTACTAACGTATCTATTGGCACCGTCGTTGTTTGAAGCTTTATTGATCTGACAGTGTGTTCCATGTGAGACGGATCTGGTCGTGTATTTCTCTCACCCTCATTGGCTCCCTTCCTCAGTTGTTTGTAGTTGGATGCTTGCTGCACCAGGTCCAAGATGGTTTTGGTCAGTGTAGCGTCGGCCAGCGGGTAGGCCTTCGGGTTCACTTGTGGTTCAGTCTTAATAAAGCACAAACAATAAATCCAGATGAGACACAAGAGACACGCGTCGAACCAAAATAAAAACCTCAGCTTCAACTTTAAAATGCGCTCATTGACGATACACATGCTTGTTAACAGTTAGCCGGAGAGCTAGCTTGTTAGCCGAACACAGGACTCACCATTGCAATATATTTCCTAGTTTTCCGGCCCTCTCGGCGAAATGCTTCACGGAGGACTCCTTGTTTCTCTCCTAGCTATAAGGAAGCAGCAAAAAACCGCAGGATACGTTTCTTTTACCTAATATTTAACAGCGTCACTAACTCTGTAAGCTCTGCTGCATGCAGTCAGTCCGAACGTTCACCACACGTGCGAAAAGTACTACACATGCGCATTGACTCGTTAGCAAAACGCAAGCGTTAGTTCGGTTCATTCTGTCGTCATTAAAGGGCGGAGCTTCTTCTTCTTCTTCTTCTTCTTCTTCTTCTTCTTCTTCTTCTTCTTCTT